GTCTGCCTTGGTCCAAGTTTTTCTGTGGTTTCCTTGGATCACTTAGGCAAATGCTGAGGCAGTAATATTCCACAGATAATCTTTCATTCTCTTCTGTCTTCATTTCGTCCGTCTCATCTTTCTCACCCGAACCACCATCCACCCATTCCCACGATTCCTGAAAGCAGGCTGAAGAGTGCATTCCGCCCTACCTTCCGGCGTAGTCCGGAGGAACTGCCCGCCCACCAGCATTAGTGCCTGGTGGCAATGAAACACCCTAAAGTTTTTTTTTAAGTGATCAACTGAGATAGAGGTGCAGCTAATAAAATCTAGACATCACTGTGTGGGCACCACCCTGAGAGGTCTCGATTCCTTCCTTTATAATAATAGATTATGATCTTGTGTCTTTATGTCAAAGCTATATATTGTGTATTGTTGAGAAACAGTAATTACCAAATGGTGATTAATTTCAACAGAATAATATACTGTAATTTCAAACTCATATTACAAGTTAGACATACGTGGACATTGCCATTAAACATAGGGCAGAAATCCAAAAAGCCTTCATACTTCCCAAATCATGCTAGAACTGATGCGCTTTCGTTTGGGTATTGTACATTTGCATTTAGTATGTCGTAAAACTAACTTTCTACGATCGACATTAAAAATTTTGAACAGTTTGAAACATATTTAAAAGTTAAAAACTACTGTAAGCGTGCTCTACAACTTGCTCATTCATTGCAGAGAAAAGTGCTTAAATACACATATTTCTTTATTATCCTAACCATTAGTGCTGCAGAAATTCCTTTCCACAAGGGAAACACTCGTGTTTCACCTCAAGGCGAAAATTACTGAAACTTCCTAACGTAGCACGTATACATCTGTAATGGCGACATCTAGTGAAATAAATAGCATTTAAGGGGCCTTAATAAAAGCTGAAAAAAAAAGCTTTTGGGTGTTTCATTCCCACCAGCCAGTAATGCTGGTTAGCGGGCAGTCCCACCGGAAGATAGGGAGGAAGGCCCCCTTCAGTCTCCTTTCAAGAATCGTGGGAATGTGTGGGTGGTGGTTCGGGTGAGAAAGATTAGACGGACGAAATGAAGACAGAAGAGAATGAATGATTACCTGTGGAATATTACTGCCCCAGTATTTGCCTAACTGGTACAAGGAAACCACAGAACAGCCTGGACCACAGCAGACGGACCCGGAATCGAACCAGCGTCCTCCTGAATGCTAAGCAATGGTCCAAACCTATCTAGGTCATGCCGCTAAGTCAATAAAATCTGCTAACCCTAGATATTCCTTTTTATTGATGTTTTATAAAGATTAAAAAAGAAGAGTTGCAATTAAGACTATAAATAAAGTTAAATATTTTGCGTTTTCTCTGTATCTATTGATCNTTGAAACATATTTAAAAGTTAAAAACTACTGTAAGCGTGGTCTACAACGTGCCCATTCATTGCAGAGAAAAGTGCTTAAATACACATATTTCTTTATTATCCTAACCATTAGTGTTGCAGAAATTCCTCTCCACAAGGGAAACACTCACGTTTCACCTCAAGGCGAAAATTACTGAAACATCCTAACGTAGCACGTATACATCTGTAATGACGACATCTAGTGAAATAAATAGCATTTAAGGGGCCCTAATAAAAACTAAAAAAAAACTTTTGGGTGTTTCTTTCCCACCAGCCAGTAATGCTGGTGGGCGGGCAGTCCCACCGGGCTACGCCGGAAGGTAGGGTGGAAGGCCCCCTTCAGTCTCCTTTAGGGATCGTGGCAATGGGTGGGTGGTGATTCGGGTGAGAAAGATGAGACGGACGAAATGAAGACAGAAGAGAATGAATGATTATCTATGGAATATTACTGCCTCAGCATTTGCCTAACTGATCCAAAGAAACCACAGAAAAACTTGGACTACGTTAGAAGGACCCGGAATCGAACCGGTGTCCTCCTGAATGTTAAGCAATGGTCTAAACCTCTAGGCCATGCCGCTCCGTCAATAAAAGCTGCTAACCTTAGATCTTCCATTTTATTGATTTTTTATAAGGGTTGAAAAAGAAAAGTCACAATTCAGACTATAAATAAAATTAAGTATTTTGCTTGTTCTCTGTATCTATTGATCGTTTGGTAATAAACGATTTTAAACCGTCACCATGGATATTTTCGATATATAGCCTCAATTTTTTTTAATGTTTACGCATCAGCATCGTTGGTTATCCTTCCGATGTTTTTGTTTATCTTACGGTTTTGTAAATCGTTTACAATTTTTTACCGCTTTTTCTGTTACGCCAACGTATTCCTACATATATATGTCGGTTCTACATAAGGTGGATCTTCAGATAGGAGACGAACGACCACTTTAAACCTTAGAAAGAAGAATGTTCCTCGGAACAGTCGATTTAACAGTCTAATGTCAGTCATTTGTTCGATGGAAAGGTTGAGCGACAAAAACAAAAACGACCCCGACGAAAAAGACAACAATTTGTAGGGCTCGAAAAGAGAAACATGTATACCATTAAATATTTGTCAAGTGGAGTATTAACCCTTATTTAGCAAGCGTATGAGCAAATCGCAGTTCTCTTTCTAATTGGAGAAATATCCCTCTAATGCCTTGTATGTATAAAACAGAATGGCAGATAGTATAGTCGTTTCCATTTAAAAACTGCATGACCAATTCGCAGTTCTATCTTTCTGATTGAAAAGACTTCTCTCTAACTATAGCTATGTCCACAAGAAGGTTCAAAAATATTGTTGAACATTTCCGAATGTTCGAGAATGTTAGAGAATGATATGTGTGCGACAATGGATAGTAGTGGGTAGTTTTCATTTAACAAATGTATGGCCAATTCACAGTTATATCTTTCTGTATGAAAAAACCTCTCTCTAACTGCAGATTTATTCATAAGAAGGTTCAGATATATTATCGAACATTTCCGAATGTTAGAGAATGATATGTGTGCGACCAGATCTATCTTTTTAATTGAAAAAATTTCTTTCTAACTGCAGTGTTGTCCATACGAAGGCCTAGAAATATTGTTGAACATTTCCGAATGTTCGAGAATGTTAGAGAATGATATGTGTGCGACCATAGATAGTAGTGGGTGGTTTTCATTTAACAAATGTATGACCAATTCGCAGGTCTATCTTTCTGATTGAAAAGACCTCTCTCTAATAACAGCTTTGTCCATAAGAAGATTCAGAAATATTGTCGAATATTTCCGAATGTTCGAGACGGTTGCTGAATAACATATCTGTAATACGTAACAGTGCGTGGTGGTGAATGGCTTTAATTTTACATATTTTGCTGCTCAAAAAAGAGGGGTAATTATAGAAAGGATAAATTATTTCATATTATCCATTTGCCTATTGCAGTTTTGGTATAGTAAATGTGAATGCATCAATATCAGTAAACTGATTCAGCAAAAATCGCGCTTCCGCGTCTCAACACGTATAATCTATTTAACTCATCCTGGAAATTCCTTTAGGATGATCTAATCTCAGCCTTTTCGATGATGTTACGCTGTCAAGCGGTGGATGTCTTTATTAATCAGTTGATGTAGCCTCCCTTTCTCGCGTGGCGTTAACGTTACAACATCTAATAAAGATTAATAGGCACGTATCGAAGAAGGCTGCGGCTAGGTCAATCACGACGAACATATTAACGAGGAGTTTTATCATCAACTACTTCATAAAATGTTCATAAACCGTTAACGGCAAATGTAGTACCGAATAACAAAGTTTATTGCGTCGCAAACAAACTCACATCGAAACTCAATTACACCACAAAAAAGGTGTAACGTTATGACATGAAACAAAGCACTAGCGAAGACTGAAGAATAAGTTTTAGAACTTAAAATTAATGACCCGAGAGATCACGTCTACTACACTTGACTCCCACATGTGTACCAAATAATATTTAGAGTAATTTTCTGTGGAATTAAAACGTAAATTGTAGAAAACGCAATACATCAAATTTTAACTCATCATCAGCCAACAAATTCCTTGACTTCTGCGATAAAATCTAACAAATCTGTGATATCTATTTATCAAATTGTGCAATTTTTATCTTTAAAGATTTATAAATCATAGTTTCTTTTTTGTTTCAGGCACAAAGGATTTTTAAAAGATTGTCCAAACGGTTTATTAACAGAACAGGTAAGTAAATTTCCATTTCCATAATATTCCATCTCTTGTGAGTGAAAATCAGAGTCAAACTGAGGTCACGAACATTTCGACTCTATTTAGAAATCTTTCTCAATGCTACAACAGTAGTAAATTGTGATGGTTATATTATTGTTATAAACGAGTACCGCAAGCGAAGATCGATACGACGCTGTCGAAAACTAGTAGCCCAGCGAACAGACTGCTGGACGAACAGGAATTTACGGGAAGCTTCCGGAATAAATAAATAACCAATAGAAGAATAAAATATAAATAGTATCCACTGTTATATTCACAATGATATAAATCTGCAGTAATAATTACGACGTACATATTACATTAAAAAGAAAAATGATGAAACAAAACTTGTTAATTATCGACAAAATCGAATCAAAGCCGGTCACGCCTTACTAGAGTGAATGTGGTAAATGCAAGGTCTAGTTTTAGTTTAATTTCAAATGAACTTGTGAAACTGCCGACCTTAAATTGGAGTTTTCAATGTATCCCATATGCGGTCAGTTAACCAACCCTATGCATACGATCCGTCCATCCATTAACGCGTAATGGGCGGCGAACAACTAATTAAGTCACATTTAATTTAGTTAGTAATCAAATAATTTCAAACCTATTCTAGAAAAGATTACGTACTCAGGCATTTGAGTAAATCCTAGTTACTCCCATAAGATTAATGTCATCGATAAATCGAAAAAGTAAGCAGCACAAGAAGGGGTCTAATAAAAAAACATAAATGTAAAATGATGAAAGTTCAAGTAGGTCTTAAATTTAATGCTTAACTTTCATAAAGTTGTTAATTAAATACTATTTAGCTAAAGAAGTAGAACTAGTGAACTAAAAGTGTAAGAGTAAAAAGCACAACTGCAATGTCAGGCTCCTCCACCATATTTTAGCATTCTGAATATATAATATTAATGTAAAAAATATAAATTATTTATTAAAAAAAGAATTTACCAACAACGATTTTATAATATTTGTATTAAACTAGGTTTTTGTTTGTCTCTCTTTGATGTTATACAAAAAATTTCAAATTACTACCTACTAAGTAAAACTAAAAGAGTTAATCACGAAGAATTACTTTAAAAATTATTAAATAATAATTTCCTTGTAGTATACATGTTAAAAATATATTAATTATAGNAACTAAATAATAAAATAAACTAATAACTATTGCCTATTCCGCAACGGAAGGTTTTTGAGATCTAGAATCTAGACGATAGCTTCCAAAGTGGTGCTTCAAATTTTCACACCCTGTGTATTTATTTATTCAAGTGTAGAAGAAAACCCTTTACACAATATTCTAAAGTTTGCCAGATGGGGTGCCAGCGTCCAAGATTTATATTTACATTTCAACTAGAGTTCTACATCTATTTTAAGTTAGTTGCACTCAAAACTAACGTAATAAATTTTATTTATTACACTTCTCCAGAAATATATTCGAAAGTTAAACGTTTGCTACAATCTGAGTTTGGTCTGGGCGCAACTATAGAAGAAGCTTGCGTAGTAAAAAGCATTGGCACAAACATTGCTGTTTTTACAATGGATATGGATGCCCTTAGAACACAATAGAATCGGACTGTTCAGCAAATAAGGCTTCAACTTCTAGTTCCAGAAACAGATTAATCGAACAAAGCTACCAAACACAAGCATTTGCTTTTAAAAGTAAATCTTCACGTAATGAGTACGCCAGACTTGTACTGTCTACCAAAAGTACTTGGAGGACCCTTAATTTTAGATATTTGTCTAATTTTGGACTGGTGTAATATCCTAAGCTCCCTAACAGTTTTTTTAAAATTGAAAGCACAAAACAAAATTATTAGAACTGCTGCAAATTCAGAAAGAAAGAATCTTGAGCAAACGGTCTTGACGAGATAAGTTTCTTGATATTGTTCTGTATCTCATATGAGTATCTTGTTCTTGATATTATCTTCATTTTCAATTCAAGATATAAGATTGATACATTCCTGCGATAGTCCTATCAAGTTGCAACACAGACTTGACGACACTAGTAGTAGTAGGTTATCCCAAGATAAGACCTATTAGCAGAAGAAACGGGAATAAAAAGGAGAATATTATGCAGCTGATTAGATAGCTCTTTTCGTAAATATAGTTATGGGTATGGGATATTCCAGTGTTTAGGAAATGCAAAGATTGACTCAATATAATAAGGAGTGTTTTGACGTGAGCGTGGCTAACCAGTCTTCCTACTAACGACCTTATGATGTGATTACCAAAATGAAAAACTTCTTCAGCCGTTTCGTTCGTTTAATTGATGAAAAGGATCTTTTAATTATACTGGATTTGAAAATCAAACAGGTCCCATTAGCGTCTCTTTTTAAAATGAATGGGCTCATGCCAATGGATAGGTACGTGTATACATATGTGACGCATATTTTCATTTGACTGATCCTTCATTTTTAACTGGGAATTGGAGCGCAAAATTCTGCAGGTAATGATACCACTAATATACACCATGTTCGTATAATATGATATGTAACCAGCCTCCTTACTAAATTCATGCACATTACACTTTAATATCTGGACCAAAAGCGAAAAAAAAAATAAAAATAAACGTTACATCAGCTGAAGTAAATAGTAAGCACACTTCCATGATTAATCGGTATGACGAAAAAAACATGGAGTAATTAATTTTTCAAGCCAGTGTTGCCGGACTGGGTAATTTGTCATAATCTACAAACATCACAACTGCAAGACTTATTGACTAGGAGCCCATACTGTCTCTTGTTACTAGAAATTTATCTATTTTGGATTTTGGGTAAAGTGACCTCTTGATTATGTTATTGTCACGTCAACCTTGACATTAATAGGTACATCTTCATGTTTTGTACTGAGTGGTTGTTGAACTTTGAAACGAATAGTACGAACTGTTAAGATTTTAAGGAGAAAAATTGGATAGGAAGAACAATGTGATTTTATAATTGTTTCGCAGCGTTTAGAATGCAAAGAATATTTGGATTACAATGACAATTAATCGAGAGAAGCTTCAACGATATTCTGGTGTTAGTTCATCCTCAACACATTAAGGATTACACAATCAGCTAAAAGATCAAGTCAACACTCATACACCTCCACAAAAAAGAATATCTCGAAAGTACTCCAATCATACCAATTCTGCTTCCTGTGAAAGAAGCAGCTATGGAAACAGTTTCAAAACCTGACCAAGCTAATGGACCAAGAAAAAGTTCACGGGTGATTTTCATGACCATGAAGTGTCCAAATGTCGCACAATGAACGGACGAATTGGAAAAAGTAGCAAGTATTTCCTGGAGTTTATGCCAAGTAATCCCTCCTGAATAATGATCCGAAGTAGCGATGGAGGACATGTTGAAGGTGACTTGTGGGATTCCCCCTTTAAGAGACAAATTATTTGATATTTTTCTCCAGAAGTTTTTTAAATAGGTGCTTAAAAATTTCCTTAGAAGCAGAATCAATCCTGGACAAAAAATACTGGAATAGATTGCGAATAATAAGATTTTAAAAGTGTTTGTTATGGAAATGATATTTACTTCAGCTTAAAATTGCAAAATCTGGAAACTATCTGCATAATTCCTTTCGGTTTCGCTTTAAAATTTCCTTTTAAATTCTTCCGCAAATGGTGTCTGGTATCATTCAGCCACTTAAGAATAAAATTTTGTCGTGCCGTCTGCCGAAAATAAAATTTGATATATATGAAAGGTGTACTTATCTACGAAGATGAAATTTCCTTCTGTATAAAGGAAAACGGTCGTTTTCAATAAGGAACGGTAGAAAACAGAATTAATGGCTCATCACAACAGCAATTGACTCGAGTTAATTGGATACTTTAGAGACAGATAATTAAATAACTCGATTACACTACTTAATACTGCCACAAAACCCTCGTCGAATTAGGAATTACAAGACTCATAATAAAATTATGTTTGCTAACGTAAGTAGGTGGATACCAGCTTAATGAAAGGAAGTCAATTTTCATTAAATGTAGATCGTATTACCGGTACCATAAAACTAAAGGCAACTTTTCTTTTTTAGGGATTCATAAAAATCTACAAACAATTCTTTCCTCAAGGTGATCCATCCAAATTCGCGTCTCTAGTGTTTAGGGTCTTTGATGAAAATAATGTAAGTATTACCACCTTTTTAAATAGTAATGTTAACATTCATTAAAAATTAAAATGAAGACTCACCCCTAATTACCACAAAAAACTCTATTTGAGCGGACACGTGTTTCGCCCACTTCACACATGGGCATTGTCAACGCGAGACAGTATGAAGTGGACGAAACACGTGTCCGCTCAAATAGAGTTTTTTGTGGTAATTAGGGGTGAGTCTTCATTTTAATTTTTAATTAAAATTTTACCACAGTCTCCTCTTTCTACACTGTTAACATTCATTTTTAATTTTTACCCACTATAAATTACACGAAGTTAATGAGGAAAAGTTGTTGCTGTTGTCACATTCTCGCCGGGAATCGAACCCTGGACCTTTGGTTTAATACACCAACGCTCTGAACACTAAGCCACGAGAGGTGACAACAGCAACACGACTAATTATACTTATTAGGTCATAGATCTGTCTACATTAACATCATATGAAACACTTTGGAATTCACTAGTGCTTAATATTAAATATTAATGTGAAAATTCATTTGTCAATTTTTTATCCACTATAAACTACCTCAGGTTAGTAGTCAGACCATTGGTGCGTAAAACCAAAGGTCCCGGGTTCGATTCCCGGCGAGGGTGTGACAACAGCAACAAATTTTCCCTCATTAACCTGAAATAGTTTACGAGTATAGTGGGTAAAAAATTGAAAAATGAATTTTTGCATAAATATCCTATACTATTATACGTCTTCGCCNCTTCTTTTTATTGAAGGCGCCACGACCCTGCGCTATCCTCTGCTTTATATCCCTATTACTCCTTCCGTCCTGACTTATCTGACTTCCAAGATACCTAAAATCAGTCACTTCTTCTAATTTTTCGATTCCTCAATAACTTGAGGTAATTGATAGTGCATAAAAATTGAAAATGAATTTACACATTAATATTTAATATTAACCACTATATACTACCCTTTACCTTTGAAAAACGTTACAGTACTCTAGAATTACAAAATAGGTATAAAATTTAATAGACAGGCAACAAAAAGTAGACAAACAAGTATAATAATAAAGAAAAAGAACACGAAATAAATGAAACAATTAATAATCTCAGCACGTCTACTCGCGCAAGCATAGCAACGTCTTCTGCTGAGGGATGGTGTGCTATGCACCCCACTAATTCGCTCGATAACCACACACATGCTACTTTGATACACGCAAACCAATTATAAAGAACATTAAGTTCTTTCCAAGCGCAATTAATTATTTCTTTTATTTAATTGATTTATATAGCTAGTACGTACATAAGATACTTCTGGAAAGCCTTGTCAAAACTGTGAAATGTTGCAGTTGCGGTAAATATGCATAGATGGCGACGTTCATCCAATTACTTGCTATTAATCAACTTAATTACATAGAGCAAGTTCTATGATCAGGATTGCGAAAATATTTTCAAAATTTCTTATTCCTGAATATCTTTTGCTGCCATTACTGCCTACAGTAAGATGGTCCTGACAATTTTGATTATAAATGGCGTATCTCCTTACGTAATACCCACCCCACGCTATAGTACCGTGGTTTTCAAAGATAAGGGTGGTAAAATATGAGACTTTCTAGACAAATTGTAATAAAATGTCACCATAATGGTTAGAGTAAAGTTGGCAAATAAACTCCGATGTACATAAGTATATACGTGTGTCAAGGGCCTTAGTAGTTGACGGTGTAATAAAAATAAAACGATAATAAGTATGAATAAATTTTTTCGGTTGCATTTTATTCATTCGTTGGTGCAATTATCAGATTATCACAAATTTTCCGTGACATAAATGACAAATTCACTTATCGGCGTAATAAACTGGCAAACAATGTGTGAACTTCTTGGAGATAGGTAATAAACACTGACGCAATAAGTGAATTTATAAATTTTGTTGTTCAAGTCGTTAATGACCTTTTTTATCATTTATCAGTAAAGGTACCTTGAGAAGTAAACCATAATTGTTTATGCAATAATAATTATGATAAGTTAACGAAATTAACAAGTCTTTTTTGTAGGACGGTTCTATCGAATTCGAGGAATTCATTAGGGCCTTATCGGTAACGTCCAGGGGGAATTTAGATGAGAAACTACATTGTAAGTAGAGCATAGTTCATTAAAAAGAATTTATTTCGGAATTGCGATGCATGCACAGTAGTACTGTATTTTTTACAGATCGGTTATTAAGAAAAGTTATGCCAATTGATTATTCGTAAAACTCTAAAACATATTTAACATAAAATGCCGATACAATATTTTTTTATCATATTTACACCGGAAGATTGTTTAATTTTGGCACACGTTTCTTCTTAGGGGCTTTTAGATTGTATGACGTTGACAATGATGGATTCATAACACGTGAAGAAATGTACAATATTGTAGATGCCATATATCAAATGGTGGTAAGTAAATTTCTGTGGTTACTTTTTTACCAATTAGCAAAAAATTGTTTACAGCCTCTGTGTTGTCGCAAGAGTAGAAAATTTTGTATTTAGTAATATTGCGACTAATTTCATAAAATAATGATAATGTTTATCAATTGCTTCGTCAAAACTTAGGACGTTTTACATGGACATGAAACTGTCTTAATATTTACACAAAAAGGTAGACTTCACCAATGAATTACTCAAAATTTAATTGCTTGTCAATTGAGTTTCAATTTATCCTGAAATAGGGGTTGTTTCGATGATTATAGTTAACTAAAATAAAGTTTAGGTATACTTCGTTTAGTTTCTCTAGCGATGTGACCTTCAGTTTAACCGGTGCAAAGTAGAAAAGAACAGCACTAGGGCAGAAAAGGAAGGAAACAACTCTCGGCCAAACTCTCAACCGGCGAGGAGCGTATAATCCGTACAGTACTGCACGGAAAAATTGACCATTTTATCCACCAAAATTGCATTGCTCGAATGTGCTGTTATTAGTACCAATTACTACTGAAAATATCAACGAGATGTTTGTTTATATTTGAAGACATATTAAAGGTTTTAAAGTTTGTTTTCGCAACGCACTACTATTCATTATTGAACAATACTTTTGACAAGTACTGTATGAAAAAGTATGTTTAATGTAGAAGAGTCGAGAGTATAATGACCTTTGTTCTCCCTACTTCCGATTTTGCCAGTGTGCATCCAAGACATTGGAAGGGACACATGGCTAGAGAAAGTAAACGAAGTATACTTTGTGATTAGATAGTGATATTCCTATTCCTTTTTTCTGGAATAGGGTCAAACGCCACACGCCGAAGATGACAATACTCCACAGAAGAGAGTGGATAAAATATTCGACCAGATGGACAAAAATCATGACGATCGGCTTACACTCGAAGAATTCAGAGAGGGTAGCAAAGCCGATCCTCGGATCGTGCAAGCTCTATCGCTAGGTGGTGAATAGCAAATCGACGATGAAGTGACTGAAATAAAACTGCAATGACACTAAGCAAAAAAAAGAATCAGATCGATACATTTCTACTGCGTGTTGGATATTTCCCGCCAACAATACTCAAAATCGTGTTTTACTGTACAGTTATTAATATGTTAAGTTTTTAAATAAATGATATTCATTAAGAAGAAATGTATAATTATTTAAATTGAATTAATGTGAATAATTTTTGAAAATCTGGTCAGTTAAACAAATAAACGTCATTATTATTCCAAAGCTTTATGCTTTTAAACAGCTGTTGTTGTCGTCCACGTATTAACGATTTAAAAGGCGAATATTTATGATTGCGGCGACCCAAACAACCCCAAAAAACCTTAGTGTCGTTTAATCAAGGCAGAAATACAAAGTGAGGGTACAGCGTTACAGATCTCAGCCACTAATTATATTGTATTATATAAAAACGAAACGCCAAATTACAAGAAAATTGATCGCTTGTATGTTGTAAATAGTAATTCAATTAAGAAAACTAGTGAGAATACCAAACCTATTTTTCTTCCTTTTTTTTAATGTCTTTGGAACTCCACACATCAGAAAACACCGTACAGCATGGGCGTACCAAAATGGAAAGACGAAGAAAGACTCTACATAATTTTGGCGGCAAAATATGATGTAAAATGTCACAATTGAAAGCTCTTATTACTTGAAATAGTAATCCGAAAATAAATCAAATGTCTATCGAAAGCGTACGTAATCCACTTTGTTATAAAACTAGTTTCAACCCTTCATCTTCAAACACTTAAGTGCGATACCACAAAAGCCAAAAATTAAACAAAATTCCCGGAAACAATTAATGCCTTATCTGGGCTTATAGAAATTATGAAAATTCATACTATGAAAAAAATGAGGACCCGATAAAATAACCAAAAAAAGTTCATGTAGTTCAACTAAGAACATTTTTATTACTCATACGGTTAACTACGCCACTGTTTGAGATATTAACAACAGAACAACACAAAATAAATGTTCATATATTTTTTGCCCCTCTTTCTAAATCAAAACTTGGCTACCCCCATGCCATGCCCGGTACAGTACCTTTATATTTTATTATTACTGATTGGACAAAAATATATTCAATTTCAAGGCACTTAAATCGAGAAAATAGGTTTGAATTTTCACTGATTCATCGTCGTTTCTAATTTTATCAATTTCGATAAATAAATATAATTAATATACTTACACTTAATACTTATAATAAAACTCCATTATGATATCTTATGAATAACGATCTAAATGTGTTAGAAAATGTAGATATAGATTTAATAATAAGCGTGAACAGAAATGTTATTATAAACATTAGGTTTGCACCGGTTGATTTGCAACAAAAAGAAAAACAATAATAATCATTATTGACCAACGTAAAATGGAGTTTCAGATTCAGATTCATATTCAGACTCAATCATTTTAGAAATATTGCAACGTGGAATATGAATTATTTTAGAAAAATCGTCGCCAATCATAAAATTCTTAAACCCTAGACGTTTTTGCAAACTTGGACAGAACTAAAGCAAATTCCAAGCATATGACAATTTATTTGTCAAAAGCAATCTTCAAGAATTCTTAACCGCTTCTATGAAAACAACCCTGGTGCAAATCAAATAAATAAAACTATTTTGATGAAAAAGAAACATAATAAGTACCTACATATTTATCTAATGAAACAATTTCGTTTTTTTTTTTATAAGCATGTAGTTAATATTTATAAGTAATTATTAAATCATTGTATTCGCTCAGGAGTTACGTATAGCATGTAGCTGNGAGACGGTTGCTGAATAACATATCTGTAATACGTAACAGTGCGTGGTGGTGAATGGCTTTAATTTTACATATTTTGCTGCTCAAAAAAGAGGGGTAATTATAGAAAGGATAAATTATTTCATATTATCCATTTGCCTATTGCAGTTTTGGTATAGTAAATGTGAATGCATCAATATCAGTAAACTGATTCAGCAAAAATCGCGCTTCCGCGTCTCAACACGTATAATCTATTTAACTCATCCTGGAAATTCCTTTAGGATGATCTAATCTCAGCCTTTTCGATGATGTTACGCATAGTGGTTGGGGAGAATGAAACACCCAAAATTTTTTTTTTTACCAATACACGTAAAATCAATTGCAGCAAAACTACTAACGATCATCGAGAAAGCCTAAGGCCATTACTAGTATCATAAAATCAAAATATTTGCAGTACCTAGTAGAAACCAAATACAGAATAAATAATGAACACCCTGTGTACTATTCATTTTTCTATCATAAATTATAATAATCCGTTAAAAATACAAAAAAGTTGTCATTGATTCACACAAATTATTTTAAGTAAGTTGTTTTTAAAGTTACTGACATTACGTAGACATTCATCAATTGCTAATTTAAACTGAGTTTTTAGAAAAACAAATGACAGACAAAACGCCACAAATGAATTAATTAATTAAATCATATAATGATACCATTTTAATACTTGTTTATCCACAAGTAGGTATAAAAGACGTAGGTATCTTCAATTGAAAAAGCTAAGTTTACAATTTCCGAAAGGTTTTGAACATAAGTGACGTAACAAAAATGGTAACAACTTTTGGCGGTTGTTTTGAATCACTTGACATGTCTTGAGCTTCTGAGGCAATTAACTAATGTAATAATTGATTACCTACGGTTTTGGTTTTCATTAAATTACTGAAAAAGGATAACAAACCGCATATTCTTTATTCCTTATAACCTAGATTTTAAAAGCTAATAAGTATCTATTTTAGATTTACGTATATTTAGTTCAACTTCAACTTCTTGTAAGCCTAACCCAATTAATTTTACTATTATTATTACGGTAGTAGCTACAAAGTTCAGTAATTCTTTTTTAGTAACACATATACGTACATGTATATTATATATATTTTGTTAAAAACTTTCTGTGATAATTACAATCATTGTATAGCAATAACAATATGCTGTGTCTTGTATTTTAGTAAGCTGTTATAAACGCTGTTATGTTGTCGATGTATGTTGTACCTAATAATGGCGAGGTTGTTTGTTTTTACACTGTTAACGCAAAATATTCCAAGTGTTAAGAAATATTAAGTGTTTTAAATAAACAAATATTACAACATTCACCTTTACTGGTCTTATATTTCGTTCATAAAGTGCATGAATGATAAAACATTCCTCCAATTACGAACAGTTTCTCAAATACGAAATCTCGAGTCAAGCAATATGGCGGCAAGGGCCGCCATTTGAAATCTTTACTGACATGACCTTCAACTGTTAATTAAGAATTGTTCTGAAGATAGATAAATAAGATAATGGATTAATTCGGTGGTTACTTTTTTCTGATGATTGATCATGCAGATAATAATTTAAGCAACACACTTTGTTTTTACCACTTTATTTGAACAAGTATTAACGATTGATACATTCCTGCGATAGTCCTATCAAGTTGCAACACAGACTTGACGACACTAGTAGTAGTAGGTTATCCCAAGATAAGACCTATTAGCAGAAGAAACGGGAATAAAAAGGAGAATATTATGCAGCTGATTAGATAGCTCTTTTCGTAAATATAGTTATGGGTATGGGATATTCCAGTGTTTAGGAAATGCAAAGATTGACTCAATATAATAAGGAGTGTTTTGACGTGAGCCTAGCTAACCATAAGAAGATTCAGAAATATTGTTGAATATTTCCGAATGTTCGAGAATGTTAGAGAATGATATGTGTGCGACCAGGTCTATCTTTTTAATTGAAAAAATTTCTTTCTAACTGCAGTTTTGTCCATACGAAGGCCTAGAAATATTGTTGAACATTTCCGAATGTTCGAGAATGTTAGAGAATGATATGTGTGCGACCATAGATAGTAGTGGGTGGTTTTCATTTAACAAATGTATGACCAATTCGCAGGTCTATCTTTCTGATTGAAAAGACCTCTCTCTAATAACAGCTTTGTCCATAAGAAGATTCAGAAATATTGTCGAATATTTCCGAATGTTCGAGACGGTTGCTGAATAACATATCTGTAATACGTAACAGTTCAGCTGAGTGCATTTTTCATCGTACGCATCTGTGACGCTGTAGAAGCAAATCCAATTGGAAATTCCTCAAGTATTGCCAAATATACATATATAAATAATACACCTCGTGATTTATTGTTAGTTTAAAACAACAAACTACGATTAGTCTGACCTCCCACAAATGCATACACACTGTAACTTGGTCTCAAAATAGAATAAGACAACATTTATGGCATTGTCTGTAACTATTTAACGGTTATTTTGAACTTGTTATTATTTATTATAATCTACTCCTTATGAAAGGTCATATTTTCGTTTAAATTTTGATAGACCATTACGAAATCGGGTAACTTCGAACACACTAACATACAAACAAATATTTCACTTCTGTCTCCATTAAAATATCGTATATTATTACTACCACCATAANGTTTTGGTATAGTAAATGTGAATGCATCAATATCAGTAAACTGATTCAGCAAAAATCGCGCTTCCGCGTCTCAACACGTATAATCTATTTAACTCATCCTGGAAATTCCTTTAGGATGATCTAATCTCAGCCTTTTCGATGATGTTACGCATAGTGGTTGGGGAGAATGAAACACCCAAAATTTTTTTTTTTACCAATACACGTAAAATCAATTGCAGCAAAACTACTAACGATCATCGAGAAAGCCTAAGGCCATTACTAGTATCATAAAATCAAAATATTTGCAGTACCTAGTAGAAACCAAATACAGAATAAATAATGAACACCCTGTGTACTATTCATTTTTCTATCATAAATTATAATAATCCGTTAAAAATACAAAAAAGTTGTCATTGATTCACACAAATTATTTTAAGTAAGTTGTTTTTAAAGTTACTGACATTACGTAGACATTCATCAATTGCTAATTTAAACTGAGTTTTTAGAAAAACAAATGACAGACAAAACGCCACAAATGAATTAATTAATTAAATCATATAATGATACCATTTTAATACTTGTTTATCCACAAGTAGGTATAAAAGACGTAGGTATCTTCAATTGAAAAAGCTAAGTTTACAATTTCCGAAAGGTTCTGAACATAAGTAACGTAACAAAAATGGTAACAACTTTTGGCGGTTGTTTTGAATCACTTGACATGTCTTGAGCTTCTGAGGCAATTAACTAATGTAATAATTGATTACCTACGGTTTTGGTTTTCATTAAATTACTGAAAAAGGATAACAAACCGCATATTCTTTATTCCTTATAACCTAGATTTTAAAAGCTAATAAGTATCTATTTTAGATTTACGTATATTTAGTTCAACTTCAACTTCTTGTAAGCATAACCCAATTAATTTTACTATTATTATTACGGCAGTAGCTACAAAGTTCAGTAATTCTTTTTTAGTAACACATATATGTACATGTATATTATATATATTTTGTTAAAAACTTTCTGTGATAATTACAATCATTGTATAGCAATAACAATATGCTGTGTCTTGTATTTTAGTAAGCTGTTATAAACGCTGTTATGTTGTCGATGTATGTTGTACCTAATAATGGCGAGGTTGTTTGTTTTTACACTGTTAACGCAAAATATTCCAAGTGTTAAGAAATATTAAGTGTTTTAAATAAACAAATATTACAACATTCACCTTTACTGGTCTTATATTTCGTTCATAAAGTGCATGAATGATAAAACATTCCTCCAATTACGAACAGTTTCTCAAATACGAAATCTCGAGTCAAGCAATATGGCGGCAAGGGCCGCCATTTGAAATCTTTACTGACATGACCTTCAACTGTTAATTAAGAATTGTTCTGAAGATAGATAAATAAGATAATGGATTAATTCGGTGGTTACTTTTTTCTGATGATTGATCATGCAGATAATAATTTAAGCAACACACTTTGTTTTTACCACTTTATTTGAACAAGTATTAACGATTGATACATTCCTGCGATAGTCCTATCAAGTTGCAACACAGACTTGACGACACTAGTAGTAGTAGGTTATCCCAAGATAAGACCTATTAGCAGAAGAAACGGGAATAAAAAGGAGAATATTATGCAGCTGATTAGATAGCTCTTTTCGTAAATATAGTTATGGGTATGGGATATTCCAGTGTTTAGGAAATGCAAAGATTGACTCAATATAATAAGGAGTGTTTTGACGTGAGCCTAGCTAACCATAAGAAGATTCAGAAATATTGTTGAATATTTCCGAATGTTCGAGAATGTTAGAGAATGATATGTGTGCGACCAGGTCTATCTTTTTAATTGAAAAAATTTCTTTCTAACTGCAGTTTTGTCCATACGAAGGCCTAGAAATATTGTTGAACATTTCCGAATGTTCGAGAATGTTAGAGAATGATATGTGTGCGACCATAGATAGTAGTGGGTGGTTTTCATTTAACAAATGTATGACCAATTCGCAGGTCTATCTTTCTGATTGAAAAGACCTCTCTCTAATAACAGCTTTGTCCATAAGAAGATTCAGAAATATTGTCGAATATTTCCGAATGTTCGAGACGGTTGCTGAATAACATATCTGTAATACGTAACAGTTCAGCTGAGTGCATTTTTCATCGTACGCATCTGTGACGCTGTAGAAGCAAATCCAATTGGAAATTCCTCAAGTATTGCCAAATATACATATATAAATAATACACCTCGTGATTTATTGTTAGTTTAAAACAACAAACTACGATTAGTCTGACCTCCCACAAATGCATACACACTGTAACTTGGTCTCAAAATAGAATAAGACAACATTTATGGCATTGTCTGTAACTATTTAACGGTTATTTTGAACTTGTTATTATTTATTATAATCTACTCCTTATGAAAGGTCATATTTTCGTTTAAATTTTGATAGACCATTACGAAATCGGGTAACTTCGAACACACTAACATACAAACAAATATTTCACTTCTGTCTCCATTAAAATATCGTATATTATTACTACCACCATAANTCCAAGTTTTTCTGTGGTTTCCTTGGATCACCTAGGCAAATGCTGAGGCAGTAATATTCCACAGATAATCTTTCATTCTCTTCTGTCTTCATTTCGTCCGTCTCATCTTTCTCACCCGCACCACCACCCACCCATTCCCACGATTCCTGAAAGCAAGCTGAAGAGGGCCTTCCGGCGTAGTCCAATACACGTAAAATCAATTGCAGTAAAACTACTAACGATCATCGAGAAAGCCTAAGGCCATTACTAGTATCATAAAATCAAAATATTTGCAGTACCAGACCCCTCCTGCCCAGTGTACAGTCAGAACGACACCGCAAAGATCCTGCCAAACCATTTGGATTGCACAAAATTTTTTATATGCGACGCGGGCAGAACAAAGCGAGCATTCGAATGCCCTTGTGGTTTACTGTTCAATTCTACTTTACGAGTTTGTGATTGGCCCGACAACGTCAACTGCACACAAGCACCTAGGCCCTGCATTGTCGAAACGGTTGCACCTTCAACTGCAACAGTTGAAGAAAGGCCACAATCTGCAGCTACAGTATCAGGATCTTCCTCGATAGTTTCTGAGGACAAGACAAACGACGACATTCCTCCTGTTATCGGAATTGAAGAAATTCCTGCCCCCCAACAAGACATTATAGAAGAAATACCTCCTCAATAACGTTAAATACTATAAGTCTGTCTTGTTAATTAATGTTAATTACTGTATGTTTAGGTAGCATTTTGCTAAATTTATTATGTGTTGTATTGGTTAGATTTAAATAAAATTACATTTACAACTGATAAAATTTGTACGTCATTCATTTGAGGTTAAAGAAAGTCAAAATCGCGTGAAAATCTATCGTTGTCATAAGTAATAACTAGTNTTTACAAAATTTATTATGTGTTGTATTGGTTAGATTTAAATAAAATTACATTTACAACTGATAAAATTTGTACGTCATTCATTTGAGGTTAAAGAAAGTCAAAATCGCGTGAAAATCTATCGTTGTCATAACTAATAACTAGTGAAACTTTTGGACTTGGCATGTTACGTATCCAAATCTTCGAATGAAATAATTTCAAAGTAAGTAATGGAGTATGAATGTGAAGAACAAGAAGAAGAAATTGTTTTTAAAGAAGAATGCTTAAATGGCCCCCTTGCGCTTAAAGTAGGTAATAATGAAGGTCTTGGTTCTTTTTTCTACAAAACAATGTTCGAAAATATGGGCAGAATATATCAGGTATTAAATGCGTCCTCTTGAAATATATCCAAGATCTATTCAAAAAACTCTATCAACTTGAATACCATTTTGACAAACTGCTACTTTTGAGGAATCATTCAATTCATATTTGATTCATCTCTTCCTCCTCAATCCACAGGTAGATTCCTCAACCGGCAAAGTAGAAACCTGCGGATCAATAAGAGAAAGGGCAATCAAAATAGCAACAGAGTTAAAACATATGAATGTAACACCTGAAGACATCATTATGGTATGCGTTAGACTCCATCCAGAACAAGCCACGATACTACTTTCGATTTTCCTACTTGGTGCAATAGTTGCTCCAATAGATCCCGAAATGACTTTGACTGAGATGAAGGAAACCTTGATTAAATTACGCCCAAAAGTGATATTTTGTGATTTAAGAAACGCTGCTCACATTGAAAGGTCCCTGATGGAAGCAAAACTCTACAAACAAGTCCATGTGATTCACATAGGAGGCGACCCAACGAGCAAAAAGTCACTCGATTCAGTTTTGGTGAAGGAACCAGACATCAGCTTCCAGCCAACCATTATACAAGATTCAAAGAAGAAAATCTGTTTGATTATCGCAACCCAAGGGACTACAGGATCACCAAAACTTGTCTGCCATTCCGATTATGCTCTAACATACCAGATATATTTACACAGACAGATCATCCTCGAAACAACTAGCAGACTGCTGTCATTCTTTCCTCTCAATTGGATTCTGCAAGTTGTGTTATGTTGCCTTTGTTATATCACATCCATTGTTAAAGTGTTACCGTCGTCCTACTCAGAACGAGCAATAGTGCGATTGATCCATGACTACAGAATCGACACTCTGATTATCAGTACAAAGGATTGCCTAAAGATTGTCAAACACGACTCTGTTAATGTAATTAAAATTACCCTAATACAGTTCTTGGTTAATTTTCTGTCGAAATTGTTAAACGTGAATAACGATTACAATTTCTTTGTTCTCATCACCACGCCATTGACAGTTCCGACTGAATACTAACCAAAAGGAGCTGCTTCTGATTAACAGACTGTACGGTCATCTATGGGCATCAGACACTACCTGATCGTGGATTGAAGAAATTCAAAACTAACCATTTGATCATCTAAATGTTCAGTAATGCTCGAACAAACGAAAACAATGATTCCTTCAATTATTAGTCAACCACACAAAATAGGGATGCACTTTTTTACAATCCTAAATATTCCTTTCAGGATTTTAATCTCGATTGCCTTAAGAATATTTTTATTGGAGGCGACATTTCAACTCCACTGGAGATTGTTAATATCCACAGAAAGATAAACGGGGCGAGATTAATTCAATTCTTTGCACTAACCGAGATGTGTGGAACAGTTGCTTCATTTGTTAGCGAATCTTTCGACTTCATGAGTCCAGCATCAACTGGAAAACTCATGCCTGGGTTTAAAATAAAAATTGGCGATCTAAACACCAGAGTATCCCAACCTCCAAATACTTGGGGGGAACTTACCATTACTGGACCAAGTGCCATGTTGAAGTAGGTGTTTACCGATCAAACATAATCAGCCTTCCACAGCTTTTCTTCTTTGGAACTGTTGGTTTCCTAAATCTCAACCGTTTCAAAAAAAAAAAAATTAGACAACTTATATTCAGTAAAACTTAACAGCATTTTTCAGATACTTCAAAGGGAACATTCCATCTAGCATTTATATGGAAAAAGGGTATTTTAGAACGGGAGATCTAGCAGAATACGATTCTCAAGGACATTTATACGTGCTAGGAAAAGTTACTGATTTAAAGGAGACAGAATCAACGAAATTTTGTTTACTTGAAATCGAAGAAATCTTAATGGACCATCCGCTTGTTTCAGAAGTTGCCGTTATTGCCGACAATAAAGACATAATTGCTTGTGTTGTAAAGGTTGAATATTCAAATTTGACCGTGAAATCGTTAGAAGAGTAAGCATCATTAAAATCTACGATTTTTTTCACACTTATAAATACATATAAAAAGAAATTGTTTCTAAAGCTATCGGGTTGTTCGGAAAGTCATTTCATTTTTTTCCGACAGAGGATTTAATTGTATTCTTTTGTACCCAACTTCACATTTAAGCCGTATAATTTTTATATGCTTTGAGAGCTCATATAGCAAGGCTTGTGTGTGAAAAATTCCAATTAATTCTACGCAGTAGTTTTTGGTTGGTGCCCTTTTAAATATGGAGAGCGATAAGCAGCATTTTCGACATATCTTACTGTTTTACTACAGAAAGGGTAAAAATGCTGTTCAAGCCAGAAAGAAATTGACTGATGTGTATGGAGAAGGTGTGTTGACAGTACGCCAGTGCCAGAACTGGTTCGCTAAATTTCGATCCGGCAATTTTGATGTCGAAGATGCACCACGTTCGGGAAGGCCGGTTGAAGCTGATAAAGACGCGATAAAGGCATTAGTTGATGTAAACCGGCGAATAACAACACGTGAGATCGGATTGAGGTTAAATTTATCAAATTCAACAGTTTATGACCACTTGAAAGGCCTGGGATTATCCTCGAAGCTCGATGTATGGGTTCCCCATGTTCTCACAGAGAGAAATCTGTGTCGCCGCATTGACGTCTGCGATTCGCTTCTCAAACGTCACGAAAATGATCCGTTTTTGAAGCGCATCATCACTGGGGACGAAAAATGGGTTGTATGCAACAACGTCAAACGCAAGAGGTCATGGAGCAAAAAAGATGAACCGGCTCAAACCATTTCCAAAGCCGATATTCAAAAAAAAAAGATGATGCTGTCTGTTTGGTGGGATTTTAAAGGAATCGTTTTTTTTTAGCTTTTACCGGATAACTCAACGATTAATTCGGAAGTCTACTGTCATCAGCTGGACAAACTGAATGATGCACTTCAACAGAAAAGGTCAGAACTAATCAACAGGAAAGGTGTAGTGTTTCACCAAGACAACGCGAGACCTCACACAAGTTTGGTCACTCGCCAAAAGCTTTTACAGCTTGAATGGGAATGCCACCATATTCTCCAGACCTGGCACCATCGGACTATTATTTGTTCCGGTCACTCCAAAACTTTTTAGACGGTAAAACCTTCACCTCAAATGAGGAGGTCAAAAACCTCCTCGATTAGTTTTTTGCCAGCAAAGACCAAAAATTTTATGAGCGTGGAATTATGCTACTACCAGAAAGATGGCAAAAGGTGTTGGACCAGAACGGTCAATATATAATTTAATAAAGTATTTGTTTATTATACGAAAACTGTCTTTCATTTCCACAAAAAAAAACGAAATGACTTTCCGAACAACCCTATAGGATTCCACCGACGAAACAACGAAGAACTTTTGTTAGCGTGTCTATAATTAGTGTTCTGCTTTTTAATTCTGAGAGCGACTTTAATCAGTAAACGTTTTTCAGATCGGTACTGAACATTTGTACAAAATTTTGGACACTACCATTGACTATCATAATGTATCCCTCTGCTGTTAATGCTAGATAATTTTTCATCATTCTCCATATAATACAGAGGAATACAGATCAAATTCCCTTTTACTGTTCATACAAGTTGCGGTTCCACCAACAATATTTTATTATTAGTTTCTTGAGGTGGAAACAGATACATATGTTGGCCAAAAATTTCTACTCATTGTAACAAAAAGAAACATACGACAACAATGTTTATACATATGGTGGAAACAGCTTAAAAAAGAGAGATTTCCCTCTTATTATTGCAGTAAATTGTTACAGATTTATTGAGCAAAATCTCGCACCCCAAATGAGACCTACTAAAATCAAGATACTATCTGAATTTCCGAAGACGAACATAGGAAAGACCAGAAAGATAATTTTGGAACAAAACTATTTAAAAGTTCCAATTCAGCGTAGTATTGGCAATTTAAGTGTTTAAAGTTAAGAATAAAATTTATGATATACCACCTGTACAGAAAAGAAAAGATATTAAATTTGGTATCATTAAATATACGTATAATTAATAATTTGAACATTGTTCGCCATTAAATCTTGTCATAGATCTTGTAAAATCCAAAGTTATACATTCAAGCATTTCGAAGAACAAAATATTGTAATGATTATCTTTATCGGAGAATAAATTTGATTAACGCTATATCTACCTAAAGTTACTTTGATTACCTTGAAACAATAATTTATTAACTACGCCAGACTTGAACATTTTTGGCACCGTATAAATAAACTACATAACTTATTTAATTTGGTGCTTGAACAAAGGTACCCCCTCTGAAAGTTAAAGAGAATGCGCAATTCCTATTAATGTTTTTCTGTATTATTTGAGAAAGTTTGTGAAAAGATTCATTATGTTTTCGACCTGATACATAGATGAGGCAAGTAGTTCTAATTTCGTACTGTCGTTCTATAAAACATCCATCCCTTAATAACTTAATTGCATACCAAATTTCAAGTCAATAAGCCTGCAATAATACATCTAATGGCATGGTAAAGAAAACCCCATGTCATTTTTATTGGAGAAATAAGGTTTGAAACTCTCAATACTAAGACTCCTATCAGAAGCTTTCAATGATAAGACTACGGATTTCTGAATGTATCAAGTAATTTAGAAGTGCTAATGAAGAAAATTTATCAAGATTCCGGCGACACCCAAATGGAATTCCTGTTATTTTATTGCGTCAATTCACAACTGCGTATGAGATTTTGATCCACTACTACTTCTTAAAGTATACAACAGTTAGAGCAATATTGAGCGTCAGGTGAACTAATCCCAAAGAAGAAGGAACCATTTTGTCAACGAATAAGGCCAGATATACGATAAAAGGAATATCATTTGTTGATTACCTCTGGAATAATAAAACCGTCAATGTTAAGTACCACTTACCAACTTACTACAAAGTTTGAGTGGCGAATAAAAGGGAAGACAACTACATCCGGCGAAAAATAGATTTCGTCTTCCCATTGCAATGCACCAGAACACACGTCAGTTGTAGCAATGCCTAAAATCAATGAATTAAAGTCTGGACTATCTCTCCAACCGCTTTAATTGCCAGATTTAAGACCCAGTGACTATCTACTATTACCTATCTGTAAATGGGCGAATAGCACTATGAAATATATATTACTGTATAAGAGCACTGTTATAAAATACGAAAATAAGCCACATTGAAGAACAAACAGAATAGCTCAAAACCCCAACGCCAAAACACGAACTGTAGTTCACTTCAGTCCCTGAAGAAGGTAACTTTGTTACCGAAAAGTGCCTCGGACAACTACAGTGTCGCGTTTTGGCGTTGGGGTTTTGAGCTATTCTGTTTGTTCTACAACAACAGCCAAAGTTTTTCCAATCTTCATATTAAGCCACATTGAAACAATTTTATTAGTGAACTTATCCTTGTTTCAGGATGAATGCCCCAAAAACATCCAAAGTAAAAACGCCATCCCTCGAATAAAAATATGGTTCCATATTTGTACATTACGAACATACATACATCTGTCTGTCGCCGCCCCGACGCCATCCAAGCGATTTTGGTATGACGTCGGTTTCTACTTTTTGTTTGTAAACAAGAGAATCTTTGCAATAATTCTGTTAAGTTTCTGATTTATCCCGTGGAATTTAAAATACTGCACAAGCTTTTTCAGACGTTCTTTCACCGTCATCTTTTCATTAAAAAACATCGCGAAATCTAAAAAATCAATCGCATATTAACTGCTCTATGTGTCACACCCTGTATCATTTGATGAACCATTTCTTTCAACGCAATTGATGCAAGATGCCAAAGCAGTCTTTTATTAGTTCGACGCAACAATAATATTATGTCGAGTTTAAGTTAACTTGAGTTGAACAACACCGATGATCACTAAACATTTCCGCTTCCGAAAACTTGTTCTAAATTGGTACCTATCTCATTATGTGGTGTTAAAGTTTTATCCGACAGGGCCCTTCGTTAACACGTGTTTATACAGATACGACTGGTCTTTATAACGGAACCAGGATAAATCTCCGCTATTAATAAAATAAATAATTAATAAACGAAGCGAGAATAGACTCCAGTACTATGTTCTTACAATAGGCTGCAGGTTGAACTATTAAACTTTAATTTGTTTATTTTCTTCCTCTAGAATGTGACGGGAATCGGTATCTATCGCATGATTTCAAAATTTCATAAGTTCAATTATTATTCTGTTGATGAGGATATCAGAAATCCAAATTGAAAAAGCAATGTCATCAAAAGTAGAAACTTATTTTTAAATCAGTCATTGGTGCACATTAATTATTGTGTAACATCAGCAACTTTACGACCACAACCAAATTTTATAGATTGACACCTTTAATTTCTTTTTATTTTATTGCCATACAAAATTTTAGCCTATTCCAGAACTAGTTTGTAAGATAGAAAAGCTTCTAATAATTTATCAACTACTGAAGGTAACAAAACAACAAAATCGCCAATAACCCGAGGGAAAGAGAAATGGTATGTGGAAATGCATCACTCATTTACAGTAGCTAGTTGTGCAATCCCCAATATATTTATGACAAATATCAGGTAGGACTTAATGAGAATTTTGTATGAATGAAATTTCCTATTGGTCATATTTAAATATACTTATAACTTAAGTATTCCAGAGAAAATTGATTGTTATTTCCCGGTAAAAGACCTCTATGCGCTAAATTTTTTGGCATCGATTCCGGAGCAGAACGGTACCTAAAAATAAACCACATTCATTGGCCATACGGGCTATTTCTATCGCCGCAAACGTCATCATCACTCGCAGCAAATTTAACAGAAAGAACTCGCTTTCCACCAAGTCCAACAGTTGCCAGCGTATGCTTACGCTGGTCTGATTTTCCTCGCTGAAATAGTACGCAATAGAAATCGTGTTCTACCTTATTTTTTTTTTTTTTAATTGAAAAATGGGAAACTCGAATCGATCGTTTTCGAAAGAAGCTGATGACATTGATTTATGGTGGGACAACAACTCGAAACAGTCGAATGATAAACGAGTCGCACAACTTTCCAATGGAGAAGTGAAAACATCTAACGGAACAATCCCTAAGGAGGTGTCATACTATCGCGAAAAACGACTACAAATCCTTTCCGAGAAAAAGAAAGAATTCGAGAAGCTACGTCACGATCTTGCAACGGAGAAAAAGCAGAACGAAAACCTGAGACTCCTGCTCAAAAAGAACGGCATCAACATTGGAGAAGAAATCTTGACAACAAATAATCGCAATCACGTCAACAACAAGAACAACCACATGGTGGATACGGTGAAAATTTCCGAATTAGCAGCTGAGAACGAACAGCTCAAAACTCGAATACTCGAACTGGAGTGCAATGATGCCAAGGTGAAAATGATGACCAACGAGGAAAATAGAAGACTACAAATGGAACTTGCCAAATTGCAAAACGAACTCCAAAGTTTGAACGCAGAGATTTGCGCTTTCGAGAAAGAAAGGCAAGAATATAATACCCACGTTACAGCCTTAAAAGATATCGTAAAGGTTAGCAAAGAACTGTTGGAAATACGCCAAAATCAAATAGTGCAGGTAAGCAAGCGAGCAATCTTGATTCTCAGTAACGAGAAACATTTCCTTTGTCTGTTTTACCAAATACGTAGTAATAACGGTTTTGTTTTCCTAACAATGAAGGTGTTTTCTTACAAGAAACCACTATGTACTTCTTCTATTATTTGAAAAAACAAGTATAGTTTCGTTATAAAAGAAAACGTGTAGTACCAAGTCCAATTTCTTGGAATATCTTTCAGACTCTCTAGTCCTTGAAGCACCTCACATGCAAAATTATAATTACCATAAACAAAGATACTTCTGTACACTATTTTGAAAAATTAATATAAAGAACACACTCAAATCATTCTGCACCACCCAGATATGTCACTGACCGATCAAATCAATTGTATTTCAAAAACAAAGTTTGGAAAAGAATGCTGTATCTTCGCAATTGTGAGATGTTCTTTATTGAAGAAATAAAGACAATGATAAACTTTTAACGCTATCTGTACATAAACGTAAGTCTATTTACAATACAAGAAATTCAGCATCAGACTAAAAAGGAATATTTGAAAAAATGCCAAAAACATTAAAGTGTCATAAAGACAACAACGTACCTAGTCACAATGACGAAAATAAATTACTTTATAGATTCTTTGCTATTAAATGTATTTTTATTGCACTGCTGCCTTTCACGCTCAACATAAGATAAAAAAGTTACAAAAATTTAACAAATCATATATAAATCTAAAATTACAGACCACAATTGTATGATGTTGGTATTATTGAAAATATTGTGAATAAAGCAGACCTTGTAGTTGCTAAAATATAACTGTACAAAACATTTAAAGAATTAAATATTTCAACATCTACCGATATCAAAAGCTTTTTTAGAACAAAACGCAAAATCGTTAATCATCTGTTTCAATAAAGATATACAATCACATAGAATCTAGAAAACATTGACAATGCTTTGGAAATATGTCGACGACCTAGACAAACACTACTTGAAAATAAAACGCAAATCTAAAACAAGTCTCACAATTTATTGTAAGGAATAAGCATTTCTTTTTAACTTTGAAAACAACTGCATTGCAAAATGATCACTATCAACGAGCAATTCAGGCATCAAATTTTAGATGGTGTATGCTCTCCGGGCTTCCTTGTCGGAAATTTTCCTACCTATCTATTTCTCTATCAAAGTCAAGTCAAAAGGTATTCGAAACAACGTTCACCTTAATATTCTTTTAGCTGAACATAAATCTTTATTTCACAATAAACCGAAACTTATCGTTAGTCTTTACAACATTTACAGTTTTGAATCTAATAATAATTCATGATGCTTGGAGTATTATACTGAGTAGACACGCATTTAAAGAAAAACTTCTTGGCTACAGATCGCATGTATACACTAACAAATGTACGTATTTATTTTGTCGACAATGGTGTAATAGTCTACTTATTTATAACATAAACCATCTTGAACATGAACTACCCGTATGCTCTTGGGCAATGATTTTATCTGTAACCTTCTAAAATTTTTCGAGAAGAATGCCAGATAGATAATTACACCCAAACCTTTCACTTTTTATAAAAGAACCTTTAACTTTTGGAAAAAAACAATTACACAAGTTAAATATTTCAACAGTTTACTTAAGATTAATAAAAAATTAAGCAAAACTCATAAAATTGTCCTAAATATCAACATTTATCTCTATTTATCAAACTCCTTGTCAAGTATTTGAAACAGGTACTGTAGTTAGCAGTAAATCTCAGTAGATGGCAGTATACTGTCAATAACTCTTGATATTAAAAGTTAAAACTTCATTCAATTTTTCTGTTTTAGTTAAATACGAAAATTGAACAGCTTCAAAAAGCATTGTCTGATAAAGAAATAGTAGCGTTTTCTGCCGATCTCCGTGAGGAATACCAAAGACAACTAAAAAACATTAGAGAACTAAGAGTTTTGTACGAAGAAAGGCAAGCAGCTGCTGAAAATGCAAAAGAAAAGTTTAAGAAAGACCTCGAGGAGTGTCAGAAAGAACTCCAAGAAGAAAAAGCAAAATCTGAGTAAGTTTCACGATGAAAACTAAAACAGGGTAACTTCAATATTGTCATTTTCATTTATCACACTAAACTAAGAAGAAACACATTTCAACGACAAATACTACAAATACTCATTTCAATATTATTTTATTGCTACAAAATATGCAAAATTTATTAAATTTTTTATCGAAACATTGACGGTAAGACCTATTATCAAGGTCCATTATACTTTATGCTAGTACAAACGCTTTCGAAGTCAATGTTTTCAGAATAATAGTTTGTGGAGCAAATGTTTTCAGATTAAACAAGCGGTCAGAAATAATTTTAAGCTTAAAACGAAACAGCTCATTTGTTAACTAAAACAAAAAGCAAATGCATCTAATGACCTGATTCAACTGACAAACTCTTTTAATGCTCTCGCTACTATTCATCCTAAAAGCTTCGCTTAATGCCCAAAGCTCGCTTGGTGCATTTTTACCGTAGTCTGGAAGGAAACCTTTAAAGATTTTACCTCATAAAATAGTACCTGCTTTTTATTAAATTGTTTATTGTTATTGTCTACTTGTTAAGTCTTTTGTACTTTTGTAATTGAATTATTATAAAATAAAAAAACTACACAAAATGTAGTATTTTGATTTTTCAACATTTCACTGACTAATAATATGAATTCACTCAACCAACAGCAAAACACAACATTTTAAAAATGAAATTGATATATGAGAAAAAATAAGTTCTCATATTTTTCTCATCAAATCAGTACAAAAAAGTCAACTTTTCATTACCAAGTCCTATCTCATCTTTGTTTGAATAACTAAAATACATGTATTTAAAAAATCAGTTCAGTATTTCAAAAACTTGTTTTACAGAGAATTAAATAATCGCATTGAAGAATTAGAAAAGGATAACTCAGAAAAATACGACAAAATAGCTAATTTGGAATTAAGCACGAAAATGAAGAAAGCTGAATGCAACGAGTTACAAGCACAACTAACTGTGATAAATCAGGTAAAATAATAAAAACCGAATTATGAAAAGGAAGATGTTAAGTAATCATTTGTTTATTTTTAGTTATTCTCTGAAATAATTCTTGGATTCAGAAACGGTCACGAAATTGACATGGACAAATTGATCGATGTTTTGGAAGAAAATCACGACTTATTAACCGACATTGTTGTAAACGAAGAATCTTATGAAATTTCGTCAACTTTACCAAAAGTTTTACTTGATCTAATACATCAAGTGAGAGAAAACGAGAGAATGTCTAAAACACAAGATGATCAAAACGAAGCATGTGGAATTGAGAAAGTGGAAAATCCTCCAGATGAAAATGGTAAGACAACTTACAATCCTTCAATGAATAAATAATGCATCTCCTGATTAATCATTAATAAATATTAAATCGAATTAACAGTACAAAACCAAAATTCACTACGCCAAAAATAAGAGTGTTGTACAATTTGCCAAAAATGATTGTATTTACGAACCAGGCAAAGCAAAAACAATGGCTGCTGCCATGCCAAACATCACGGAAATTATAAATCACCTGTCAAGTAACCAAAAATTTCTTAAATGAAATTCACTCGTTTGCAACTAGACAATTTCCTTATTATGACACCTAGCATAAATTTTTAACACTCAAACTTTTCTTCTTTTTTAATTAAAACTGAATATAGAAGTAATTGGTCACCTCCTTTTGCTCCACTTAATTAACTAAAATCCTAAATGTAAACTCTATTTTTTTTTCAGCAATTCACTCCAATTTATCGATGAACAGTGCAGCTGAAATAGTGCAAAATCTTCCAAAAGTGTGGAGAGTTCTGGCGGAACTACTGAGCCATCAACAAATTCCAATTCCGGTAAACGATCTCACAACAAACGATGAAGATCCCTGTTATAAATCAATACAAACACCAACCGGACCCAGATTAGTCCTTAGCGTTAGCGGAACATTCATAAGGCTTAAGGTACTTGTTGTTCTACCTCAATTTTGTTAATGTAAATAACTATCTATACAAAAATACGAACTCATCTTCCAGGACCTTATAGTCGAAAAGAAATCTCTAGAGAAGGAAACGTTTCATCTAAAACAACTCAACACACACCTGGAGAGCAGGCTTCAAGATCAAGAGAAACGTCTGGAAATTGTTACTGCTGAACTTTCCAAAACTTGGCATGTGGTGAGCATTAATCTTTCACCATCTCATCTGCGAATTTCTTTCTACAGATTAATGTTCTTTTTTCTAAGGTTGGAAATATGCAAAAACAACACCAACATCTCCATACCCAAGAGAAAATCCTCAGGTACGAACTGGCCCAGAAAAGGAAACTGCTCACAGAGCTTAAGGAAGAATTGGAGTACTGTCGCGAAAAATGGCTGATGGCACGTGAAAAGAACAACAAAACAGAAATCGAATGGAAGGAATTGCGTGACGAATTTGCCAACAGGAAACGCAATTTGAACGACGATCTGAACAACAGCATTGAAAGTGGATACAGCGATGAACGGGACATGTCCAGTGACGATGATGTTTACGAAAGAGATGAAACCAACAGTCCAGCAACACCCCATGATGAATCTTCCAATGTATCCAACGAACCGTCTTCTGTTAGTGTCAGTATTAGTCTAAGCCCTTTTGTGGAAACCGCAACTGTTGAGGATGAAGAGGATAAAGGAGACGTTACACAATTGCCAAAAGAAACGTCTATATTCAATGTTGTGGAAGATGAAATCAATAATATTGAGTCGTCCGACTCTTCACCAGCATCTAATTTATATCCAAAAGAAGAAATTGATGTGACCGAAGTTGAAAGTGCACATTCCATTGATGGAAATGTCGAAGAAACGGAAAAGTCTGACAAAGTTTTAAGTGTAAGTGATAATAACAATGACTGTATGGACACGTCCTGTTTATGTAATTCGGGATACTCAACCTCCCCATCTCTCGTAAAAGCAAGACAAACTGAAATTGAAGAAACTTACAAAAGACTCGAATCTGACATCCTTATGACAGTGGCCAAAGCGCAAAAAGGCGAAAGCTTCAACCCAGCCCCAACAACTTCTAAAGTGCCGCTGGAACTTCACAGTTTAAAGTGTGAATCTTTAAAATCGTTCCCCTCTTATTTTACTCAAATTGAGCTTGCAAAACCTCAACAAAGTGAATTATTAGAAGGAGTTGTTGACTGCGACAGACCAAGCACATCATCTGCTAGTTCAAAAGAAAATAGAACCCCTAGTGAAATTTTGGCAACCAGAGAAGAACGACTGAGGAGGTTGGAAGAAGAATGTAACCAATTAACTTTTAAAGTTTTATCAAACTCTTACAGGGGGTGCCAAATTTCCAGGAAGTTGAGCGATTTACACGAAAAACATGGATCCAGTGTTACCGAAGATGATTCTTCGAGCGACAGCGAAAACAATGAATAAATTTATTTAAGTTTTACTGATACAATTACCTACTATTTTAATTGTCTACCTAAACAAAAATCGAGTTATTGTTATTAGTATTAGTAAGTACAGTATACATATGTGTGATATATTGTATGATAATGATGTAATGGCAGCACATAGGTACTTGTTGTAATTTGGATTTTAGGAAAAATATCCTACATTTTTTTATGTACTATTAAATTTTAATGCATACAACTAAATTATTGTATATATAATCATTTAATAAAGTCAATTCAAAGTCCAGAATTTTTTATATTTGTGCTTTTGTGGCATTAGCATCTACGAGAATTCAAATAAAACTCTCATTCAAAAATGGATTAGGAACAGTGCAACTTTGATATGCTGAAATAAATTTACACGAATTGTAATAAATAAGCAATTTGATAAAAAATGCAATCATTTTGTGAAATTCATCAGTCATCTGTGCATTTATCGGAGCTATTAAGTACCGTTGCGTGCGTATGAGACTAAATAATAAGTTTCAAATCACAATCCACATAATTTGATAGTTCCTATGATTTATTGTAAAGTCCCACATCTTCTTTACAAATTTTTATACATCTAAAGGACTAATAAGTACTTTTGTGTATAAAAATAAGCATCAACTAAAATTCTAGTACCACGTGTGGACCAAATTCGGCCATTTTGTCTTCATTTAAGCGTTTTGCATGAAGAAAATGTACCTGCACATGCATAATGTATCATTCGCGTCTTTTTATAGGTAACAAATAGGTACCAAAAAAAGGTACGGTAGTTTTCGATATCCAGGTATATTAATATACATCCAGCATATCCATCGATCAATCAATATTTATCGTCAGTTAATTCAAAAGTACCTATTTATGCATACATGTATTTGCGACACTTTGGTGGACCATCAAAAGCGTTATGGTCTTACTTGTTAAAACTATTACATGTAAAATTCTTTAAAAAGGAATGAAATCACTTACCAAACCATCCAATTTATAGCTGTTGAACCTTTTCACACAAAAGTCTTAATGTCCTATATCACAAACATAAAATCACAAATTATACCGTTCGCGTCGAAATTATCTCGAATACGAAGCTTGAAAATGCGTTTCTTATTCTAGAACAATCATTTTCTGGCGTACCCATACGAATTTATGCGGTATAACACGATAAGCTTTTAACTTGCTTTCGTATAATACTGATACAAACCGACCAAAAACCTGAAGGTTAATAAAAGGTCATGCACAGGTTCACACAGGCACAAAAACGTATCAACAAGATTAAAATATGTTCTGTAAATAGACAATAATTATTGGTACCTACTTCGCAAGCATGGAATGGAATACAAATAACTTTCATTTAAAATTTTACTAAGAAATCTAAAATAAGTACCATAAACTGATTCAATTTTAACAGCATCACATTCATTTGCTAGATTAAGTAAAATAAATACAAATAAAAACTTTAAAAGTAATTTCTACTTAAAAAAATCGATTGAAAAATAATAGAAATGGAAGGAAGGAACGGGGCCTGTTACCTTTTTCATTATGAAATGACCTTTTTTGTTTTCATTAAAATAGATAGATACACAACACTCTTATTTTTTATAATTAATAATAAAACTGTTATAAAACGAAGCAATACGAAATTGTTCTTCAATAAAATTTAAATTTTAATCTATTAATTTTCTTTTCTTAATTATTCTTAAAATAATTACAGCGCATAATCACTTCTATATCTTTTTGAATTCTTCTTTATCTAATCACTAAATGATTTTGTGGTGTCGCTAAATAATTACTCTAAAATTTTTTGGATTATATTTGCACTCAAGACAAAAAAATAAGTTTGAAAACTCTAAGAAAAGACCAATTGAAAATTATTCCCCATCTCCCAGGATATTTAAAAAAGCTTCTACTCCCTTATAGTCCCATACTTTCCCAAAAAAACAAACACCAATGCTTTAAAACTTATTTTTCCTGCATTTCAAGATAGTTTGCATAACAATTGTGAGAAAAGACTAACAATAAAACACACTTTTGTTTTTTAATACATTTATTTACTATTTCAATTGTTTACTTGTGTTTGAAGCTACTTTGCAATAACATTTTATAACAAATAAATACTTTTCTAAATTAAAACAGCCAACGAACTTCAATAGTAGGATATTTATAACAAATAAAATAAATCCTCCATAATTAATAGTCAACGTTGAATTCGATCGACACATAATAAAATTAAAAAGAAATATATTGTGTACACAGCTTTCTACTTTACAAATTCTATCAACAAAACAAAACAACGGAATAACATCAATATCAATATGAGAATCGATGTAAGAACTAATTTTAATTTAATTAGCCTTGTCTGCGTAGATTATGCAACTTTTCACAAGACGGCATCTTAATGTTCTGAGCACTTACAAACAGGTCTTTATCTCCAAAACTTTTCGCTTTCCACATCATTGATTCACCTAAAAATTGATTATTACCCTTTATAAAAATATAAAA